GGTTCGTCATGCTGACCACACGTCACCCTATGTCTGGTTGGATGATCGTTCACCTCTGCTTAGGCATGTGAACGTGAGGCTAGCAGCCAGCTAGTCGGCCTTGGCTCTCAGCGGGCTGTTACCCCACGGATTATTATTATTATTATTAATTATGTTACTATGCGTTTGACATTTCGCTTTATAAGGAACTCTATCTATTGGCGACTTTAAGAAAATTTGAATGAATTGTGATGTTCGTTATAGCGAATGTTCGTAAACCGAGAGTTGCCTGTACTGCAAAACATGGATTTATAATTTCACGAAACTGTTAAAACTTGTGAAAAATGTTAGCGACCAAGCTCTTGCAGTGGCATGGACTTTAAGGCACACTTGAAATCAGAAAATACAAAAATGCCCCAAAAAATGTTAGAGACCAAGCTCTTTCAGTGGCATGGACTTTAAGGCACATTTGAAATCAGAAAATACAAAAATGCCCCTATTAGCTTTGTCCAATCTGTCCGATTATTTACAATACAGCAGACACACCAGAATTGTTATAATTTGGGTACATTTCCTAACTTGTTCCCTTTACCACTGTGTCCAGATAAGCTCTGAGGTCCTCTGACCCTATCCCATGAAAGCCACAGGCTCTTTCCATGAAAGAAATGTGACCAGAACTTGGAAGCTGACAACTTATTTCCACGTACTGTTATCAGAACGTACTCACCTATACTTTCATTTTCCCATTAAACTTCGTATAAAGATGAACAGCTTTAACTTTTATAATTTCACCGAGTAATTACATCGGTCAAACATGTAAATGATTTGTTACAGAATGCATTTAGGTACATAGTGGTACTGGGAATTATTCTCGTTTTACAAATTCAAGAATGAGGTGCTCCTATCAAATGAGTGGGCACCATTAAAACTGGTTGACTTTAATACTGGTAGGCTGTAGAATTAGTGGTACTTCCCTCCTTGCCATTAATCTCTTAACGCAGGGTTAAAGATAACTCAAGCTTCAGTTTTAATTATACTGGAACAATTCATGCACAATTTGAATTCAAGACCATGACGAAAAAGATACATACCCTGTGGCATTATAAGAGTCATAGGCCGAAGACTCATAGAAGCCACCGACATTGCCGCCCATGTCATCCTCGCAACCATAGGATTCTTCCATGGCGACTCTGGCCCTGTCCAGAATGCTCAGCACCTTTGTCTTTGTGGGTGTTGGTCTAGGCAGCAGGGCTTGTGGAGGGGGAAGGGGTTTCCTGACGCCAGCAGGGCCCCCTCTAGGGTGCAGAACACCTGCAGGTGGCGTAAGAAGACCCCTGCCTCCTCCACGGAGAGGAGGAATTCCACCCCGCAAGCCGCCTACTGCACCACGAATGGCGATGCCACCTCCTCCACGCCCTCGAAGGCCTCCGCGGACAGGTTTCCGGACGCCAGAAGGTGGAGTTCCATTGTTGGAGCCAGCTGCCCCAGGTTCTGTCACTGTCTGTATTAGCTCCATCTCACGCATCTGCTCTTGACGGATCTCGTCATTCGAATCAGGAATCAGGTACTTGCGTACTTCAGCAAGTGCATACGCAATTCTAGCATGTGCTTCTGCTGGTGGTGCAAATGCAGCTATTTCTACGTGTAAATCGTCACTTAGGTGAGCATATTTTGGATCCAGGGATGCACGAAGCTCTTCCTCCTGAAACAACCACAAAAAAGAATATTCCATAAACATACCAAGACAAACTGCATATAAGACAATTGCTGAAGACGAAGTAATACAAAATTAGCTTCAGAAGTCTATAAAATTATTACCAGAAGCTATATCATCATCATCACGGGTTCTACAGACCGCCCCAACCAGAAGCTATGTGCCCACTATATCTACAACAGCAATGAACATAGCAACAAGCTTATTTAATACGCACATTATTAACATGCTGACCACACAACCACTTTTAAAGATTTTAATTTACCTACTAGACTACATTGTGCTATACGTAACCCAGAAGACAGCCACCTTCATACTCACCACTGTGAGAACCTCAAATTGTACTCAATTAATAGATTTAGATCAAACTGAGTACTAGAGATGTGTAATAAAATTGTTTACCAAATTTAATTCTTGGTCTAATGTAACAGCCCTTGAAGCTATATTTGTCCAAGTGACATACAAATTTATTTATGAACATTTTTGCAGTTATCTGAAGTTCAACAGAAGTATTTATATTCTCATGTAAAGTGGTCATTAAAATTGTCCGATGTAAACAAGCTTAATACTATCCTTCAACTTTACCTAGGTCTTCTACATGGCCTCTTCGCTTCAGGCTTCCCAATAAATATTTTGCACAAATTTATCATTTCCCACGTGCGTGCTACATGTCCCCACCCATCTCATACTCCTTGATGACATCACTATAATAATTTTTGGAGAAACGTACAAATTATAATATTTCTCAAACTTCAAATTTCTCCAGCCTTGTCACCCTATCCCTCTTAGATCCAAATGGTCTTGCACACCCATCCGCATAAACAACTAAAAACATAGTAAAAAGTTATGGTTTTTCATCTCCCGAGTCCTGTTAACGACGCCGCATCAACTCCATAATCACGCGAGGAACGTGAGGAAACAGCTCGAGGAGATGAAAAAAGTGATGTAACCAGCAACTACGACGGCACAAGTTCATACTGAAGCCAGGTTGTTGAGGCGATGTGGGAAGCTTGTCGACCTGCCCAAAAACTCCACTACTTGGAGCATCACAGTCTTCTTTTGGTAATGAAAAAGACCGTAAACATCCACCGTTTTCTGTTCACTACTTCGTCCGGAACACAATTAATTTTCTTATATAAATCAATCTGGCTACACCTATAGCAAATCCATTGCTCTCAGACAACTGTGTGTTCGGAGTATTCTCACGAAAATGTAATATAATTAAAATGACGGGGTCACAACTTTGTAACTTAAGCGTCCAAATTTCTAAAACAGAAACACCAAACCTACGCCCATGCTTAGCAGGTGTTCGGGACAGGTCAATACACAACCCGTCATATCGAGTGTACAATACCGTCTGGAGCAGACATCTATCACAGCCTGAACAGACCCAGTCTCCTGCTATGGAGTTAACCACACAAAGAAGGAACCACGTACAAATCTACAAAATATGAATAGAAAAGCTATTAAATACTTCGGCATTTATTATAAAAAACATCTTCTACGAAGCCCTCTCTGGAGTGTTCCGATAAGAACATGCCAGAACGGGCATTTACGAAACGAAATAGAAGTCAGGAGTATAATGTTCTACTTGCAGAAATTTAAGCTTCTTTCAGAGTTTGAAAGCCATTACCTCAAAGCTGTTTCATCAAAAGCACAGCACATAACACTTGACACGAACTTAAAATTAATCTTCAGACATTTAGACGGCGTGCACTTATTATTTGACTACGTTAAAAATTGCCATTTACGGCTTGTTGTACGAATACACATTACAAATTATTCCCACAAATTAGCTTATGCATAAATCTAATTTGGAAGTCAACAAATACCAGTACAACCTACAGCGCAAAACCTTGAGTTTACATTTGACAAATTTAAGAAAATCTGTAACCTTCGCGGGCGATCAGTAGTGTCATCATGGAATTGGTATCTAAACTCCTTGAAAAATATGCGACTTTTGTTCATGTCATTTTTAGGAGACGGAAAACAAATGATAGCCGCTAAATACTTTTATTTAGCTACCAGATAACATCGAACCATGACGATGGTGGCACAGAGGCACTAAAGCGTGTGATGCCAAGTCTATGTTCAGACAACTGAACACCTGACACTTCATAGCACTCGGTCGCTTCGAAAGCTTCAAAGTCGATATGGTCACATTCAACCTTCAGCACTGTTAATGGCAAGCTTACGAGTCCTTAATCAGGATCGAGGTCTTTGTACGGATCAGTCTGAATGAGGTGAGTGCGCATTTTGAAACCGTCAGCAGTACCAGGGCCTTGAAAGGACCTACTGTGCTTGAAATTCGCGAACCGGCAAATTGACACACTATCAGCATCTACCCGTGCAAAAAAACAAAACAAACAGACATGTCTGGTAGAAGTTTACCAAAATTTCAGAGGTGCACGCTGCCTCCATCATCAGGCCCCAAAAATTGAGGCAGCAAGTACCTCTGAAACGTCTGTACACTTCTCCCAGACTATACGGCACAATAACCAGGAGACAGCCCATCGCCATGCCTGCAGCAGTGAGAACCTAAAATCTCACGTCATTCACTACAAGTTGCTGGTCTTCATAACCACAAAGATTGTAAATTCTGCACAAAGAGGGATAAAGGATTACAGAAATCCAGAAATGGCGCTGGAGACGTAGAAGTGAAGTTGAAAACACTGTAAGTTATAGCTGAGAGTATATGATCACAGTATGTCACTGTAAGGCAAAGGCCCAACGTATATTCGACAGGGAAGGAAACGTGGGGTGAAATCTCAGCTTAAGTCGGGATTCCCTACTATAAGAAATGCACTGAAACCTTTAAGGAGGTAATGTAATCCATTCAACTACGTTCACTACGCAAATACGAAGAGCAGACAGGACAGATAAACATGTTCACAGGACATTCTCTTACTGCGTTTTGACATCAAGACCGAAATCGAAACAGCTTCAACAGCTTAATTAAAAATAAGTTACGGAGAAACCGCCTATGAACAGAGTTATGGGTTACTGTGGAAACTATACAATACGCAGAAGTCAAGTACTTAGGTGTCCAGGTGTTTTGGTACGAAAACGGGCAAAATCACTTGGCATGAGAGAAGTTTTGGCCACGCCATGCTGAAAACATCAGTTCAAGTCGTGCAGTCGAGACCACGGTGCAAGTTACACGACAATTCTATCGTGTTTCAAGATCTCGTTTTATTGACTAGTGCTTCACTTTTTGAGGTCAAATTCGTTATGAATCACCACCATTTTCACATAATTGTGATGTCACTCGCATGCAAAGTTGTTTGCTCATGAAGATTTCTGTCATCTGGGTTGTTGCGCTGTGTAGTCTGGTCGATGTTAACCAACGTTTCAGAGGTCATACTGCCTCCGTCATCAGGGCGATTCATCTACCAGACTACACAGCGCTACAACCCAGAAGACAGAAATCTTCATACTCACCGCTGTGAAAACCTCAAGTCTTACATTGTTTTCTCATATCTATAAACGCAAGGAAGAATTTCATCTAAAATTCTAGCGAGGAAAGCAATTTCTGATTTTGAATGATTTCCACGGAATTTTAAATACGAAACTCCAATTAAATTTTAATGACAAAAGAAGTGGTGTTATGTTTTAAGTTATTAATGAAATAGCTGAAGTAAAACATTTATACTTCTAAACCACTTCAGACATTCATGGGTACATTAAACCCTAAAATTTCCGCTTTATTTCAGACAATACTCTATAAACCGAAATACGCATTACAATTCAATAAGGCAGGTATTTTGTCTTGCGATTTTAAATAATGAGCCTTCTTTTCATGTCACGAATCTGCGTGTATATACATCGTATTACGCTTGAGAGTACCTTAAATATATTTCGTTATGTAGTTCTTTTGAAGCAATGCGACGTGTTTATAAAACATGCTGTTGTGCCCTAGAAATAACAATGGTGATGGCGGGGCATTCAGGCTGATACAGCACCCACAACTTCGCTGAGATACGAAATGCGGATAAAACAAACAATTACTTGAAAACATCAATAGCTCATGTCGAGACTGCAGCTCGATATCGACTTCATATTTATGGGCATCATCCATTTGAATTTCACTGCAACACAGCACGATACGTTATTCAACGACGCTGTTTCAACTGGCGTTACACAGCGCCGAATTAAATGGAGTACAGAAATTCTAGAAGATGAAAAAAAAATCTACGCTGACATCGCCGAGTAATTCACTTCAAGCATCAATAACATTTGCGCTGAGTGCAAGAGTTACAATTAAAAATCATTTCCCACAGCTCTGAAAGAGAAGCAGACAACCATGTCTCCTGCATACAAAATCCTATGGGAACAACTTGGTCACATAATTTCCATCAAATTCGTCCCATTTCACAGAGCCTACAAAAAACTATAAATTTAAAATTATATTAACCAATGATGCGTGCATGATACCCACTAGAAAAAATTTAGAGCATCTGTCAGATGTTAGACATAACTTCGCCCTGATGATAGAGGCAGCAAGGACGTCTGAAAAATCAGCAAACTTCTACCAGCCATCATCGGACTCACCGCCGTGAAAACCTCAAATCGTACATAACGTCAGTGTCACGCCATCACCATGCATGAAACTTTTAACATACTCTAACGTTTCTGAAAACAATGAAGCTGCCACCTTAAAGCTGAAATATCTGCGGGACAGGTTTATTTAATGCTGCGACGACTGGGTGAGACTGCGTCTCTATGGAGTTGCGGCAGCTACCGTCACATTGTCCATACATAATACATGAGTGAATACAGTGCAGTGGTAGAGTTACGGCGACAGGAGAAAACCGACGGACTCGGAGAAAAACCTGTTTCAGTGCCACTTCGCCCTGGGCACAAACTCCGTCCTTCGCGGTGAGAAGCCGGAGACCAACCGCGGGTGATATGGAAGGGTTAGGAGGCCTTTGTAAAAAGATATGGACATGTTAGTTGGGTAGCGAGATAAATGACGTCAATGGGCGGAC